AATCACGTATTTTCTGAAGTCAGTATGGCAAATTAAACCATTTGAACACTTACAGGAGAAGATTTGGTAAAAAACATAACTTTGCATTAAATCTTATTCAATGTCACAGGGACGTTTGTTGTTCAGTATATTTCAAAGCTTAACCATAATTCTTCAAATAACCAAGGAAGGACTTTTTAATATTCATGGAGTATTGAAAGGGTCGCTTTTATTCCCATTACGTATGACGTATTTAAAGTATTTGAGACAAGTGGAGTTGATACCACGTCGATTCTCAAAGACTTTTCGCAACTTCGCAAGAACCAGGATCAATTATGCCCAAACATTTGACATGACTAACTTAAGGAAGAACTTCATCCTTTGACCTACTGGGAATATGTCACAAAACGTGATGACCATAGATATATGTATCATTATCTTCAAAGATTCAGGACAATTTGTCAAAAATGAAAGCAAATATCATCTGAAGTTTACTGAGAAAACAATATGTCAAATGTTGGATTTCCTCCTTGATAACACCTGTGTAAAATCTGGGGATAGGACATTTAGATAGGAAGTGGGCATCTCCATGGACATCAATTATACTCCCCTCTTTGTTGATCTTTTCCTTTCTGCATATGAGTTTCTTCTCGGATTTGTAAAATCAAAACAAGGGAATTTGGCCAATAACTATAACCGAAGCGTCTGGAATATATATGATCTGATATGGTTCGATAATGGTCAAATAGCCAATTCCCCTCAACTGGTTTACCCACCTGAGCTAGAAATTTAAGACACTAGTAAAACTACCTCTTCTGTTTCCTACTTAGATTTGTGCATGAAGATTCAGAGTGAAAAGAACCTATCCACAAGACTGTATGACTAGATCATTGACTTCCCAATAGTCAACTTTCCCTTCATGTCAAGAAATATTGAAGCCGGTCCATTCTTTCTTATCTACATTTCTACAACCTTTGAGGTACACTCGAGTCTTAAAGTTGACAACATTCAAGGCCTTAGTCAAGCTTTCAAATTGTTTTGTGCCAAACGTGTGGAGGACATTTCTCAATTTGACGCACCAGTATGGAACCCAAGAAGAGACATTGTGGCGTTGTCGCATTGTCGTGCTGACAAAAACAAGCAAAATGTGTCAAAACTAACCAAGGCGCGAGTCCAAGTTTCCTATCCTTGCTAATGCGAAGGTCATTGACTCGCGATTCATGTAGCACATACCCTTAAGGCCTTTGTCCTCTTAAAAGGTAGTACTGTACGAGTCGAGCCCCTTAAATCTGATACAATCTGCATTTGGCCTCGAAATGATCGATAAAATCATATCTATCTATTTAAACACATACTTTTTTGTTTCCTCAAAAATTATCATCGGTAACAAAGCGGTTGTTCATGCATGTCAACAGTTTTTCTGCAGTGAATATCATCATGATAGTGTGTTGGTATAATCCAAGTTGTACTCATTTCATGACAGATTCTCTGTTGGTACTGACATATACGCGGAGGTGAATTTTTTCTAATGTTTGACCAAATGATTATTTTTATTTGCAATAAACCGTTCGATGTTCGAGCACTATATATATATGCCGTAAAAGGCGACTAACCGGATCGGGTGGTCAGGCTCGCTGACTTAGTTGATGCATGTCATCGTATCCCAATTACTTGGATCGATGCTCATGATATCAATCACTGGATTGTCCGGTCCAGTCTTGAATTTTTGCAGACCTCTGTCATATAGCTGGAATATTGCTGAGTGAGGCGTTAAACAACACACAAAGAAACAAACACAGCACAGAAGTTACAGCAGTTAATATTTCCTAATAAATGTCGACACCCCAAGGAGAAGTTAAATCGGTTAATGTCTCGTGATAATGTTGACACAAGAGGAAGTTACATCAGTTAATGTTTCCTAATGGTGTCGACACCACAAGGAGAAGTTACCCCAGTTTATGTTTCCTAATAATGTCGACACCAAAAGGAGAAATTACACCGGTTAATGTTTCCTAATAGTGTCAACACCTCAAGGAGATTTTACACCGGTTAATGTTTCCTAATAGTGTCGACAGCTCACGGAGAAGTTACAACAGTTAATGTTTCCTAATAGTGTCGACAGCTCAAGGAGATGTTATACCAGTAAAAGTTTCCTAAGAGTGTCGACACCTCAAGGAGAAGTTACACCAGTTAATGTTTCCTAATAGTGTCGACAACTCAAGGAGAAGTTACACCAGTTAATAATTCCTAATGGTGTCGACATCTCAAAGAGAAGTTACACCAGTTAATGTTTCCTAATAGTGTTGACATCTCAAGGTGAAGTCACACCAGTTCATGTTTCCTAATAGTGTCGACAACTCAAGGAGACGTAACACCAGTTAATGTTTCCTAATAGTGTCAACACCTCAAGGAGAAGTTACACCAGTTAATGTTTCCTAATAGTGTCGACAGCTCAAGGAGAAGTTACACCAGTTAATGTTTCCTAATAGTGTCAACACCTCAAGGAGAAGTTACACCAGTTAATGTTTCCTAATAGTGTCGACAGCTCAAGGAGAAGTTACACCAGTTAATGTTTCCTAATAGTATCAACACCTCAAGGAGAGGTTACACCAGTCAATGTTTCCTAATAGTATCAACACCTCAAGGAGAGGTTACACCAGTTAATGTTTCCTAATAGTGTCAACACCTCAAGGAGAGGTTACAACAGTTGATGTTTCCTAATAGTGTCAACACCTCAAGGAGAAGTTACATCAGTTGATATTTCCAAATTGTGTGGACACCTTAAGGAGAAGTTACACCAGTTAATGTTTCATAATAGTGTCGACACCTCAAGGAGAAGTTACACCTGTTAATGTTTCCTAATAGTGTCAACACTTTAAGGAGAAGTTACATCAGTTAATGTTTCCTAATAGTGTCAACACCTCAAGGTGAAGTCACACCAGTTAATGTTTCCTAATAGTATCAACACCTCAAGGAGAAGTTACACCAGTTGATGTTTCCTAATAGTGTCGACATATCAAGGAGACGTTACACCAGTTAATTTTTCCTAATAGTGTTGACATCTCAAGGTGAAGTCACACCAGTTTATGTTTCCTAATAGTGTCGACAACTCAAGGAGAAGTGACACCGGTTATTGTTTCCTAATAGTGTCAACACCTCGAGTTGAAGTTACACTAGTTGATGTTTCCTAATAGTGTCGACTCCTCAAGGTGAAGTTACACCGGTTGATGTCTTTGCAGTGATTAAGATATTATGGGATGTCGTTCAAACCAGACTAACTTAAATGCTCTGTTTATATTTATGAATTGTGTTTGGACAATGCTGTATTTCGTATTCAGCAAGATGGATCTGTAGGATATTTCATACCTAGATTTGATTAAAAACCTATGAAGTATTTAACATTTCTGTAGTGGTTAGGTTATTGAAAACTCTAACCGAGGGCGTAAGTGGAGTTTGTTTACCGTCGCACTCAGCACTGTTTAAACTATTTCACGTCGGTCTGAAAAAAAGTCAAGTCAGGGAAAATCACACCAGTGGTTGATACTATGAACGTTCCATAGCGGAACGATGACAAGCAATCAAACAAATAACTGAGTCTAACCACTTTAGAACTGTAAGATTGTCGTGTAAGATAGTGGAGTACAAAGAACTAAACCGAATCCTATGAGGTTTTGAGAATCCACATGGTATCAATTCCATTTGTCTCAAATACTTTCTGTGAATCCAAAGAAAATCCCTCCTTGATTGTACTACAAATTATGGTTAATCTTTAACGCCCAATGGAAGTTGTTTCGATAGATAATCGAGACTGGTTAGTCTCTGGCGTTGACGTCCTTTATGTCCTCTGTGAACACTTTTTTTGATAAATCACATAAACCAAGTTCTTTGAACAGACAATGAATGTAACGATGCTTACATACAATGGTTATGTTATTTGTTATTAACTTTTCATGAAGGGAAGTTAATCTATGGATAAAGCCAGACTTTAACAACACACTGTGTTAATCCCTGTGAAAACATCAACCAGTGAAACTTCTCCTTGTAGTGTCGACATTATTAGGAAACATTAACGAGTATAACGTCTCCCTGTACATGTGATGTCCACAATATTCAGAAACTGTTAAGGAGGAAAACGTCTCCTTGTGGTGTCGACATCATTAGGATAGACGAGTTAGAATGAATTACTAGCACAAGGCAGTAGGAAATGATACACTAGTTGATATTGATGTTATTGACTTTGTCCATAAAGGCTTTGTCAATTCACAGCATTTCAACCTATTAGATAAAAGAGACAACCCTTTTAATACTCTTTAGAAATCTCTGCTAGATAAAAGTAACAACACCCTTTGTATAATCACAACATATGTCGGCTAAAAGAAGAGTCCATTGTACGATTCTGACTAGATCACAAGCACGTGTTTATGATGTGTTTCCTAGTTGTTTAAAGGCCGCATTCATATCATATGTAAATAATCGAGTCTGGACCATACGATCCGCTGATCGATAGCGTGAGCATCGATCTACGCAATTGGGATACGATGATATGCCTCAACCAAGTCAGCGAGCCTGACCTTCCGATCCCGTTAGTTACTTCTTACCACAAGCATAGTCGTCTTTTACGATAAGAATGGTTTGCTGAAGACCTATTCTAACCGGGTCTTCACGGGTCACGAGTTTATGAATCACTATCAAATATCAAATATCAGTATCAAGACTTTCGTTGAAAATAATATTATAAGTGTTTTGACAGCATGTTTCATGCATTTTAGCTTGCTTTCTACTTGATGCCATTTAAGCTCAATATTTCCGTTTATAGAGAAAACATTATCAGAGTTTTCAGTAACTCGGCATTCACATACTCTGGGAAGTCATGGAGCATAAACACCAGGTTCAGTTTAATCTCCTCCTTCGACAGGTATAGGTTACTGGGACCAAGTCTGTCCCTGAATCCGGTATCAGTAAACGCAGACGAGATCCAGGGTCCCACGACTTATTGTACTGACTGTACCGACTGTCCTCTCTGATACCACCGTGGTTGTTCACAAGGGTGCCTGGAGGTGTACATGAGATCATCGTCTTGTCTGGTGGGAAGGACGGAGGGTTTGGCTGTGTGTGCGGCAGTCACTCCGCGCTGACCATGGCAAAGGTTGGTGTGATGGTGGGTTGGTTCCTGCTGGGTGTGACTGGCATGTCGGGTGTTGCTGGCCATGGTGCCTTGATAGATCCTCCGATGAGATCCTACCTGTGGAGAGTATACACGGGTCCGTTAAACGTAGTCCCGAATTATAACTACAATCAACTATTCTGTGGTGGGGTAAGTATTAAATACTATTTAATTTCAAGAAGTGTTTGCTGAAATATGGATTTAATCATGAAATTGCTCTAAACGCTAGGTAATAGGTGAATTGATAATTGTGAACGAGTATCCAAGTACATCTCACTTGAACATCTTTATAACGAAACAGGATTCGATCCTGCATCGAGAAGAAGGAGACAAAACAATATATAAAAAGGAGTACATCCGGCACAGTATAGAGCATTCTAGTATCAAGTGAATATAATTTCTAGCCAATATTTTCAATTATGCCTTAAATGTAAACATAGTTCTATCACAAAACCGTTAAACACATTCACAAACGATAGAGGTGGACCACAAAATGCAGTAAAGAACAAAAGGGTAGCCTGCAATAAGAAGAGAGAGTGAGTCCAAATTTTAAGTCACATCGGCAATTTTTCAGCCATATCGTGACTAGCACTAAAATGAAATCAAATAATGACTTCATTTAAATCTGTGTTACTCTCAACTTTAAGATGCTTACTTTCGGTGTAGGTTAAACGTTGTCATCAATGCCTTGTATCTAATTTATGATGGTGGTCATTTTCTGATCAAGCACCCACATTTTGAGTTGCCTCCGCTCTATATATTTATACTTCACATGCCAAGGCCTGCGATTTATCTAAGGCCGAGTAAGAGTATGGTTATCTTTTGAAAAAAACACCTAAGGGATTTTTCTTTATCTGTCTATTTCATGTTCATGCAAACGTAAACACAATATTTATCTTGCATATAGTCTTGACAAGCCTAAGGGTCTGGGGCGTGATCTGGGTGTATAAAACACAGTCGTTTCCAACATTCCTCTGGTACTGAGTTTCAGGGCAGTTTTTGTTTCTTAAACTGACAATGTATAGTTTGTAAGTGTAAGTACGGGAAGGCCTGGGGACGACTGGTATTAAAATGTTACTTTTGCATTTTTTTCAGTGTCAATTGTTTGGTTGAGTTTTTGTGCAATTATTCATGTTACATAGTTACAGTTCGACATTGGTATCATCATGGCGTTATGACAAGATCTATTTAGTTAACGTTATGCTATATATAACGTTTATATAAATATACACAACATTAAAGTTTGAGATGTGTTTTTTATCATTGTTTGTTCTCTGCAACAAAATAATTTTGTCTTTGTTCCTTTGAACAAGGTACGTGAAGATTCGGCTTAGAATTGGTCTTCAGTAACCCATGCTTTTCATAAGAGACGACTATGCTTGTAGGATCGGGTTGTCAGGCTCGCTGACTTGGTTGATGCATGTCATCGTATACCAATTTCGTGTATCGATGCTCATGATATATCAATCACTGGGCTGTCTGGTCCAGGATCGATTATTTAGAGACGGCCATCATATAGCTTGAATATATTATTACTGGAGTACGGCGTTAAACAACAAACATATAAATCTTTTGAACAAAATAATTTTGTTTTCGTATGTAAAATATTAGCCTTTTCGTACAAATCACTGCTGCGCTAACATCCGGAGCCAGCTGGTACGTGCATTACAGAACAAGAATCAGAAATGTTGAAGTGTTCTAAGTTTGAAGTTATGCCTTTCCTTTGCAAATGTTTCAATAAGTTAATTGAAAATGGAGTTTTTCCCCAGCAATTGGTCATGTTCTATAATAATCCCCCTGCATAAAAAAGGACAGGAGTGACCCAGGTAACTATAGAGGTATTTCATTAATGAGCATTTTAGGAAAAGTATTTACTACAATATTAAACAATAGAATTTCAAAATGGGCGACCATGCGTGATAAGATTCCTGAATTTCAAGCTGGCTTCAGAAAAAGTTATTCCACCGTAGATCATGTATTTACACTTTATTCACTCATTCAAAAAACCTTGTCACGGCGTAAGCATAAACTGTATGTAGCATTTGTAGATTTTAAAAAGGCTTTTGATTCTGTCAATCCCTTTAAGCTATGGACATGTGTACGAAAAGCTGGTTCACGTGGGAAAATGTTTACTATTCTAAAATCAATGTATTCTAATGTGAGATCATGTGTTCGTTGTGGGAATAGTTTAAAATATTTCTTTGATTGTCCTTTGGGCCTAAGACAAGGCTGTATTTTGAGTCCGATCTTATTTTCATTTTTCATTAATGAATTATATTACGAAATAGCCCCCTGTGGTAAACATGGTATCCAAATGTTTCCAGATTTGATAGAAATATTAATGTTACTTTTCGCAGATGATGTCATTCTAGTGTCAGATACTGTTGTTGGTCTTCAAAGGCAATTACATATTTTAAGTACATACACGAAAGAATGGAAATTATCAGTAAATTTGGAAAAAACAAAAATTGTGATCTTCAGAAAAGGTGGTCCAATATCGTCGAAAGAGAGATGGTCATTCGATGGTCAGTTAGTCAATATAGTAGATCGCTACTCATATTTAGGAATCTGGTTCTCACACAAAATGAATTGGAAAAAATGTGCCCTTGACTTGTCCTTGCGTGCAAAGAAAGCTTTAATAAGTTTAATGTCTATTGCTCATAAAGTGGGATCGATGTCACCAAATATCTTCTTTAAGCTTTTTGATACCCAGATACAACCAATTTTATTGTATGGTTCTGAAGTATGGTGATTTCAACGTTATGACTGTTTAAAGAAGGTTCACTTATTAGCATGTAAAAAGTTTCTTTGTGTCGGATCTTTCTACACCAAATTCCATGGTTTATAGTGAATGTGGTAGATACCCATTACATATTAACTCTCAGATCAGATGTTTAAAATACTGGTTTAAAATTCTTCATATGCATGAACAACGTTTCCCAAAGTAGTTTATAACATGCTTCTACATTTCGATAACATGGGAAAGAATACTTGGACATCGCATATAAGAAATCTTTCATTTTCGCATGGTTTGGGTTTTATATGGCTATGTCAGTCAGTTGGAAATGTAAACATGTTTTGTTTGTTTTTTATACATTTTATTTCACCTTTTCCCTGTTACATGAGGAGGATGGCCATCCAGGGCAATAGTCACCCTCACATTCTGAAGACAATGTATGTATACATTTGGGGAAAATTAAATACAAGTATTGGAAATGGTGCCAAGGTGATTTTTAAGAAATATAACAAAACATACATACAGTCAAGCATTCAAAATATTATTCAAACACTGATCCTGGCAAGAAACAAATATGAGAAAGAGATACATATGTTATTGCTGTTCTGCTTCTTCAAACAATATGTGATAAAAGATCCATGATTTATAAAATGTAGCTACATTACCATTTGTAAAGGCTATATTCTTCTCAATTTTGTATCTCAGACTAACATCTTTTTGAAATATTGCGAAGCAAAGATTTGTTTTTTTGAATCTGCAAAAATATATAAAAGATTTAGCTATTAAAATAAGAAGATCAAAAACTTTGTCAGTAACAATATTTTCTTTAACACCAAATAAAACAAGTTCAGCACTTAATTTCATATGATGTATATGGCTACATTTATTTATCCAATCTAAGAAGGTTTTCCAAAATACTTGTACAAGTTCACATTCCCAAAAAATGTGTACAATAGTTTCATCATAACATTTGCAAAAAGAACAAAGCGTGGTATCAGAAATATTCATTTTAAACAACAAAGAATTAGTTGCAAGTATTCTATGTATGATTCGATACTGAAACCAACGCAATTTCACCTCTTGTGTTGCTTTAGAAGGCTAAATACAAATAATATTCCAATTCAATTTTCCAAACTGTAACTCCCACTTTTCCTGGCCTCTTGTTTTCATATCAACAAATACAAGAAGATTATAAATATATTTAGAGCCTGTCCTTTGAGAGAAGATCTTTTTAATAACACAGCGATGTTCTTCTACAGAGTCAGTAGGGAGTTTAGTCAAATTCAAACTGGTCAAATATCTCTTAATACCACAAACAATACCATAAAAAGCCAAGAAAGTAGATTTTATCCTGTACATGTCTTTGAATTCTTCAAAAGATATGAATTCATGATTATGATTTACAATGTCTGCTATTTGGGAGATACCTTTATCAACCCAATCTTTCAAGAATATTGGTAATTTATTAACTTTGATGTTGCGATTGAAAAAAATAGGTTCAGCTATAAAACTGCTGAAAGTATCTGGTACAATCTTCTTATCAAAATCTACAAAAGCTTCATAACAGTTTTTCCAAAATAAATTATAAAACAAACAGAGTTTCTTTTCTATAAAATGAGATCCAAACTCTTCGACTTCATTAACAAAAGGAAATGCAGCCTTGTGGATGTCTTTCCACTTTTTGGTATCTCCACATAATAATCGCCTTATCCAAGTAATCTTAATAGATTTTGTGTACAAAAATATATTAATCATACCTAACCCTCCCTGTTCTACAGGTTGACAGACTTTTAGTCTTTTAACTTTATCAGTCTTTCCGTTCCACAAAAACTTAAAGAGCATGTTATTTAATGTTTTAAGAAATTCTTGGGAGGGATCCGGCAATGATAACAACAAATAGGTAAGCTTGGATACAAGTAGAGATTTTATAACCACAATTCTGCCAATTGGTGTAATAACTCTTTTCATCCATTTCTGAATTATTACTTTCAATTCATACAACTTATCTTTAAAATTTAAGTCTGACATTTTTTTCAAATTAACTGAGAATTTAATACCTAAAATTCTAAATACCTCTGGGTTCCAGCTTATTGGACAATTCTCCATGTACTTATCTTTACAACCTCTTTTGGAACCAATCCAAATTGCCTGAGATTTATCATAATTAATTTTCAGACCAGAAATATTTGCAAAATAATTAAGTGTTTCAATAGTAGCTTCAAAAGAGGACTGACTACCATCTAAAAGTAATTCAGTATCATCAGCATATTGACACATCAAAAATTCTTTGTCTTCAATAAAAATACCTTTGATATTAACATTAGAGCGAATCAAATTCGACAATATTTCTGCACATAAAATAAATATAAAAGGAGACAATGGGTCACCCTGTCTGCAACCTCTCTGAATATTAAACCAAGAGGACATGTTACCATTTATAGACATAGCACTCTTAATATTAGAAATGTAAACATGTTTCTTAATGAATTTCGGAATCGGTCTATAAGTATGTTCTACCAAGAATGGCACTCCACTTTAGTGGATAGTTCACGTTATGAATATAACAAAATCTTCAAGACTTTACTTCAACCAGAAATATATTTATCACTACTCACTACGGAAAACTTAAGAAAACAGTTAATTAAATATCGACTTGGTTGCTAGACCATTTGTAAATAAAGGAAGAAAACTGTCCATTGAAAAAATGAAAAGAATTTGTCCATTGTGTAACCTTGTCTGTCCATTTTACAATGATCTCCGAAAGAAATATATAAAAGATTATTTAATAGCAATGTCACCGATAAACGGCTTTGTAGTTATGCTGACGACAAAGAACGAATCAAATATAATAAATCTTTCTCTTTATATTAAGCATGCATTAGCCAAAAGAAATGAATTAATCAAACAACGTGTATATCCCAATGTGTAACATATATAATTGTATCTTCATGCGTAACTCTTTCTTGTATATTGGCCGGAGGCCTTTTGTACAATAAACTTCTTTTGACTTCTTTTGACAGAAAGCGCAGGTGGAAGATTTGACATACTGGTATTCAAAATTGTGTATGAATACAATTAAAGCAATGATAAAATATTTATTTTTGTTCTCTGAAAATCGAAATAATCTGATTGTTCACTTTCTACTAATAGTCTGAATAACAAAAATACTATTTAATGTATTGAATTTTGTTTTTGAAGTAATCAAAAAGTGCGATACATGTACTTCTATGATGTAAGTTTTCAGATAGTGTATGGCAATAAGATATTACTATAGCTTTTCTTTCTCTTTCTCTTCTTTTGTGATATGTATCCTACAAAGTGTTTTGACATAATAAGATTATGCCTACACATGTACACGAATCTGAGCAATCCACATTATTACTTAAATAAAATAATTTATGATAATTTTAATTACATTATATTGGAAGAGGCATACATTCCTCCCTAGCTGCTCTTGATATTAAAACTAAGAGGAAAGGTGCGCTCTACCATCAGGAAAATGCACCAGTGCACAACACCGTCATTGCCATGGTGTCAGTTCACGAATGTGGCTTTGAGTTCATTCAGCACCCACCTTTTTCTCCTGATATGCTTTAGATTTAAGCTCCAACTAGAACCCTTTCGACCTGTACGATGACGTCTTAGAACCTGTGGAAAACCTTTTGGACAGCCAAGAGAAAGATTTCTACGAACCTGGGATAACCCCCCCCACACACACACACACACACACACCGCCCCCAACCCCCCCCCCCCCCCCCCCTCTTCCCACACACACACACACACACATCGTTGGCAAAAGTGTTTCAATGGCGAAGGGTATAACGTTGTAACATAAGTCATTATAATGTCTCTAGGTGTATCTGAGGCTCATAACGTATCAAAAAACCCTCGTACGAGTTATGGCTGAAAGGTTCTGAGCCAAACGATGATGGCCTGCATTGATGGAGTTATTTGCAAAAACATATTCCACTGCGAGGCCCACACACTTCTGCCAACGATGCTGGAGTGACTGGGAATCGTTGTTGTAGGAGGCTTCCTTCTTGTGGTGTAAAAGAGACGAAAAAAGACCTTTCCATATTCATAAGAGATCAGAGTTGTGCGAAATGTGTTGTACCCGCCAATAACACATGCAAAGGCAAGTCAATCGTTCATCTGAAAAAAACACGGGATGCGACAAATTTGGAAATGTACATGTCTACCATAAAACATTTTGAAAACTTTCCTGAGGCCTTGAATGTTGTAACCTTGATCAAAGAACTTCTGAGCAAGAGTTGCATGACGCTCTTTGAAATCTTGGTACAAGGAGCATGCTCGATTGTACCTCAAAGGTTTTGAAATGTAGACACCAAGAGCTGGAGCGGCAGGAATATTGCTCGACATGAAGGGAAAGTTGATCATCGGTAAGTTGAAGTCATCCCTCTTGTCATACAGTCTTGTGGAGAGTGTTTTGGCACTCTGAATCTGTATGCATCGATCAAAATATGAAACAGATGTAGCGGTCTCACTGGTTTCCTTTATAACTAGCTCGGGCGGGTAAATCATTGAAAGGGAATTGGCTATTTATTATTGAACGATATCAGATCATCGATATACCTGAAGCTTAAGTTTAACTTCTTGGCCAGTTAACCATCTTTTGACTTTGCCAGTCCGAGCAGAAATTCTGATTCAAATGCATACAAAAACATATCAGCAAGAAGGGGAGCGCAATTGGTGCCCATTGGGATGCCTACTTTTTGCCTAAATGTCTTACCCCCAATTTTGTTTTTCTTCAAGTTTCGGAGGGGTAGGCAGATCTGGTGAATACGGAGGATGTTCAATGAGTTTAAAGCATCAGTCACGTATTACAGCCATGACGACAACAGGCTAGTATACAACTTACTGCATTACCCGGTGAAACAACACATCTATGGAGAGTTTGTGTTCCCCGACATTTAGTCTTGATACTATCACGCAGTTGCCTAAGCAGATTAACATAATATTGGCCATCGGTGATCTCATCTTTCGGGTGGCAGTCCACCAGTAGGATTCCTTTGATAGATCTGACTTCGGAGGAAAGGCTAGATGTTTCCGCCGCTTTGATTGTTGTTTACTCTCTCGCTAATAGTGGTGAACTCAAGACTCATCCATGTGTCGGCTTCAAAACGACGTAGATTCTCACTTTTATCATCAAGAATCTTAAGACTTCGAGACCAAGCGTCTTGTAACCTTTGTCATTCCAAGTTCATTCCTCAGAAGAACTCTCTCATGAGATATGCCCACTGTATGGCTGTATGACGTGTGGTGAGTCGACTATCATACATAATCATATCACGTATTTTATCAACATTTTCCTCAGTGGTGGCACTTGTAGATCTTCGTTTTCCTGGATAATCCCGGAACCTCTCTCTTACTCTCTTGTTCTTCGCTGTTCACCTCTTAAAAATGAAGAAGAAGCATCATTCCCTAAAATCGACACCATAGATGGATGTTGGAGTAAGCCCTTTCAGTTCGGGATACTTGATGAGAGCGTAGTAACCAATTTTGTCAATTCCCATCAACAGAGATTACCTAATGACTTACGTGCCTGCAGAAATGTGCTGCCTGATTGTCTAAATGGTTTTACTGCAACCTGTAAGCATGACAAGTAGTGCACTTAATGCACTTAATACATGAACACTGTTAATGTTACTGTTATTTTTTATAAACTCGCCTTAACACCAACAAAGCTTACTATATATATATATAGCTTTAACAGTTGAACATTTGAAAGCGGATCATTGCATAAACCCATCAAGAAATTGGAAGAAGTGCTTTATATATATATGGTCAATTTAGGCTGAGTACGTCGTATCACAAGTGGTCAACAAGGACATTCAATTTGCTTTGCGAGATAGACAAATAATTTAAAAGTATGCCGTTTTGGTTGTGTTCTGCAGATGACGTTCGACAACCCCAGCCAACTGTCGGACTACTGTGGAGTGTGTGGGGACAGAAAGCTTCCGGGGAGAACGGGTGACAACGTGGCTGGGGGCAAGTACGCCCTCGGCATCATCGTGGCCAGCTACGTCCAGGGCTCCGTCATCGACGTCACTGTCAAATTGACGGCGAATCACAGAGGCTTCTTCGAGTTCCGCCTATGTCCACACAACAACCCAAATGTGGTGGTGTCGCAGGATTGTCTGGACAACAATAGGCTCCACATCGTGCGGGTCACCAGGGAGGATGGCAGTGTCGAGGTCGTGGGCGGACCTCACTTCTCCTTCACAGAAGACACAAACTTCATCTACATTGTGACGCTGCGGCTCCCCAGCCACATCTCGTGCACACAGTGCATTCTACAGTGGCACTACAAGGCCGGTGAGTTAGTGTTGAATATGGGAGTGGGTAGAACGTGAGTGAATCAGATGCAAAATAGTTGGTGAGAGTCAGAGTCAGAAGAATATAGGTGAATCAGAGTATTCACAGAGTAATAATCTGAGTAAGTAGTATGTCTGTTCGCCAGTGAGTCCAGTGTGCCAGAATGTTTGTTGTACAACGCCTCATTCAGTAATATTCCAGTAATATGACGACGGTCGGTTACTAATCGCGTCTGGAGCAGACAATCCAGTGGTTGACATCATGAGCATCGATCTACGCAATTGGGAAACGATGACATGTATCAACCAAGTTAGCGAGCGTGACCACCCGATCACCCGTTAGTCGCCTCTTACGACAAGCATAGTCGCCTGTTACGCCAAGTATGGGTTGCTGAAGATCTATTCTACCCCGGATCTCAATGTGCCAATAGTACATCTGTAAACATGTCAATACTTGGTCAGTGAGTCAGTGAGTCCGTCAGTATTAAATCAATGTGCCTGAAGTAAGTCTGTTAAACAGGTACAGCCATAAAACCTACATTTATATATTTATATATCGTTTCAAGCAATGAAATCAATGGAATCAATGAAATAACTGGACGTGTAAATTCAAATAAGTTTTCTTATCAAGCAAAATACACATTCGTATTTCAGCTCAGCACAACAATCTGCATCTGTGTAACTACATAGGGTGCGGCGATCAGGAACACTATGTAAACTGTGCCGACGTGGAAATAACACCTCTCACAAACACATCCCCAACAACGACATCACCAACTACATCCCAGACAACATCGTCAACAACCTCCCTTACGACTACATCTCCTACTACAACGTTATCTCCAACAACCTCGGTAACAACATCGCATACGACATCGGAAACAACTTCGGCGACATCACCAACGTCAACATCCCTAACAACCCCCACAACAACAACAACATCGATGGCCTTAGATGAGGAAATTATCATTGGCAATAAGATATGCAACTGGGCCAACCCAGACTTGGTCCACTGGCCAAAGCATCCTTGCAATGGTATTTGCGAGCTGAGATGTTCAACTCATTCCCCGGGCTTCCATAGTTGGTGTATGAATAACTGCGCTCACGACCCGCCTTTCTGTCCACTTATATACTGCAATTGTCAGTGTAAATATCACAAAAGTCCTTGAAAATGCTACAACTTTAACGATAACCCAAGGCCATCTTAACGAGGACATAACAAGTGCTTACACGTAATCTGGGGTAATAACCTGTTCATCTGTGGCAAAAAGTTATATATCTCTAAATTTTCTAGCTAATGAGCAACTGTCACGACTACCAGTCATTACCAATGTGGGCTATAGCCTCTTGGGAACTCCTACGATTGCTATATAGCTAATGAAACGATCAAATGTCTTCCGTTTGAGTTTGTTTCCTGGTGTTGTAGCCTATTCTTGATTTCTGGATTCGTGGTCGGGATATGTCTAAAAGCGGCGTAAAACCCTACTCGTCATACCTGTTAATAGATATAATGTGCTTGAAAAATTAATTATAAAATGATATTTATGTTGTAAATCAACTGTCGTATGTCAACTGTCGGGTATTCGTTATTTGAATAAATCGGAGCAAGTGTGTGTGTGTTGTAATACATAAATATTTTACAGACAAATCAGGTTGGTGTGGTACATTTGTGTGATGTCAGATATCGTCACCACTGACGTGTTGATGTATTGAAACAGTGGTATTAAAGCAGGGAAATGTCGACAATGGCAACCAGGCTAATATGATCCTCATACCGTAAATCTAATGAGGTGAGAGAGTTGTCGTTTTCTTCCTATCTTCTACATCATCCCTCCATAATAAACAACAATCTGTCACTTCGTTAAAAGGACACCCAGCAGAATGTCTACTTCTGTGTTCTTTGCCCTTCTTTGGCTCAACGAGTCCATATAACACGCCCAACGTACCAACAACTATGCCCGAGGTTATCACGTCGCCACAAATATTCGCAATAATAGAGAAATAACAACTAGGCCCCAAGGTGACGATACGGATGATTACTTGCTTTCCAAATGATAACTTGTATTTGATCGTTAACTAAACACACACACACACACACACACACACACACGATAGATGTGCGATAAATGAGGTTCTTCTTGCCATGCCCACTGAACTGGCTTGTTGTGTCACAACCTGTGGCCGCATGGAATCCTGGTAGAGCTGCTTCAACATCTGGGGTGAGAGATTAATGTACAACTGATATGAATTGAGGTGACAAGCTTTTGTCAGAGTTCAGTTACACACACACACACACACACACACACACACACACACACACCGCGCGCACACACACACACACACACACACACACACACACACACTCACTCACTTACACACACACACTCACACACACACGTACCAGTAAGATCACACACACACACACACACACACTCACTCACTCACTCACTCACTCACTCACTCACTCACTCACACACACACACTCACACACACACGTACCAGTAAGATCACTCACTCACTCATACACACACACACACACACACACACACACACACACACACACAAACACACACACACACTCACACACACACTCACTCAAACACACACACACACACGTACCAGTAAGAATCAACGCATATATACCCCGGGTGATACTGTTACAACGAATGTATCTTGTCGCTTTGTCTCAATCTGCCATTGAAAAGGATTTAAAACAAGCTGGAAGTTGACAGTAAAACAGGTGTTCGATTGAGCAGAGGTTAACTTGTACTGTGTGGCGGGGTATAAGGCATATAATCTCCCGCTCAGAGATCCACGTGCAGCCTTTTTCTTCGTGGAGGGGTATAAGGGATTTATAATCTCGCTCAGAAATATATTTCCCTTCAAGGCGGAATTACATATTAAGATAATTCTGACATAAAGGTAAGATAATATAAATAACCTCTACACCATACATGCATCATGAGTAAAAAATGAAGTACTCCACAATATAATGGGTCAATAAGAAAGCTATGTGTAAAATGAAAATAGTGCACTTTAATATTTTAACATTTGATAAAGATATTAACCTACTTCACATACCAAACGTAGCCCATTATGTTGTTAGTGTTTCGTGTGGCCTTGTCTACAACAGTGCCTGACATGGTCCTAGTGACCTTAGGTGGGAGAAATATAAGATATAACATATGCTGTGACGTATTTGGAATAGTTGGACGCGAAGGTACGTGTAGTCAATTACTTGAGATCACTTGACAATTCTAAGAAATACATATTTTTCTTCAGAATAGGTTTATTTTTCGAATCTTTTATTACATGCCGGATGCGTGTGTGTTGGATACACCCGAGATGAAACCTTCAATATCAGTAATCTATCTACATATGTTTATTTGGGTACATTCATACAAATGGATGTTTGTATTGATCTCAACATACATACTGATATCAAGATCAATTTAACTTTATTGTAACGCAGAAATGTGTGTGCGGCATTGCTCCCTATCCTCCTGTATGCGGTGCACTCAATTGCCCGTGCTTTACCACGGAAATATCTTGTCCATGATAGGCTTGATGAATCATATTATCGTGGAAGATCGGTGATAATAGGATAGTTGGTGTCACCTTCTGCAGAGGACGGGTAAGGAAACAAGCCCGCCCTACCTCTGTTCTTTGACAGCTTTTGCCCTAAATTATAGACTTTTATCAGAGGAAGACAGATTTCCTGGCACATGGTGACAAAATTATAGATATTGCACATCGTATATACTAGTCCCGAAACAGAACACCGGTCGCCAGGGTCGGTGTCTCTTATTGTAGTGTTCCTGTAAAATATGGCTTAATTTGGAAAACGTTCTCCATGGTAATAAATTAGGGACTGGCTACAATCGTTTTCATCGTGCTTGAAGGTAGATCTTTCATCGGTGAAATCTTTCACAATCTAATCATTAAGTGAATGAGTTTGGTTGATGTCGACTTGCTTCTTCAGTTACATCGCGGCGTGTCAGCTTTACCTCCTAGAAACATAATCAGGGGGAATCTGGGATTAGAAAGGACAAAAGCGACAAACGCTTTCCATATTAAAAGCAGGGTCCTTTGTACCAATCTGACTATATCATAAGCATGGGTTTACGAATCACTATCAAATAGTGATGACATCAGTTGTTCGCGAAAAGGTGACCGTATTCTTCCCTATCGGTGGCACCCGTAACAAAGACTTGCAGAGGCAAGTCAGTTATTCACCTGAAAAAAACCACGAGACCATATGGTAAAAATGAAAATCGTAAGATTGCATGGCACATCATTTTTGTCTCTGTTGGAAATGTCCAACACATGTCTACCATAAAACTGACTTCTGAGTAAGTCATACGACGCTCTTTGATATCTTCGCGGGGAGATACTACCTCAAAAGTTGAACGTGACACCAAAGACTGGAGCTACCAGAAAATCGTTCGTCATAAAGGGAAAGTTGACCATTGGAAAGTTGAAGTCACCTCTCTTGTTATACCGGCTTGTGGATAGTTTTTGTTTCGTGGGGTAGTGGTGATAAAGGTGAAAGATCAAATGTTTCAACTTAATTGATCTTTGTTCTTTTCTGAGATTTAAACAATTCAAACAAATCCTTTGAGTATTTGAAAATCTACACGGTACAAATTTCACTTGTCCCAAATACTTTCTGTGAATATAGATTAAACTAAATAGAACTGACAAAACCCTTTCCGTAATCCATGAAGTCCTTTCCTGGTTTTATTAAGAATAGTGTGTATCATTTGAGATGAAGATTTGGTGGTACGGTTGTGTGGATTTTATGGAGCTTCAGTACAAACGAGGAATGGACATTTCTTCGGGTTTTACAGTGAAGCCAAAATTAAATAGTACTGCTGCGTTGTGTGGGAAGAGTTCTTCTTCAGTAAAGCATACAGACCACACATCAAGTTCACACACCAACATGGGCTTCGGGCACTCCAAAGAGGTGCAACGAATTGCTAGGTCTATAAATAGTGTATTGCTGTGAAGAACCGTGACGTTTTCATAACGCACATGTCTTAGCCCTACACTTTATTATATGTGCAAGACTTGTTGTTTCAGATGCTGACTCTCTGCATCTTCCTAGTGCTGCTCATGGGGGTAGTGTCTGGGCTCATCATGCCTGGACCATGTCCTGTCCCCACCCCCTGCTTCTGTGGCACAGTCATCCACTGTGACAGCCGCTCCCTCACCGTTCTCCCCACCTTTACGTCCTCACCACGACACTTCCCCATATTTGACCTGTCCCACAACCACCTCGACTTCATCCCAGCACGGGCCTTCGTCGGGGTCAACATGTCTACTCTGGACCTCACAGGCAACCCTCTCGTCCTCAACATGGATGAAGATGCATTCTTGGGACAAGAAGACATCCTGCAGCAGTTGATAGTGTCGCAAACATCTATTACGTCACTTCCTTCCTCACTGGGCAAACTCCGACGACTGACGAGGCTCAATGCCGGAAATACTTTCATAACGACAATTGATAGTTCTTTGTTTTCTGCCCTTGGATATCCTTTACAACATCTGGACCTCCATGATGCAAAGCTTACACAGTGGCCGATTGCTGTCAATAACCTCAGATACCTGAAGTCCGTAGACTTGTCTGGTAACGTGATAAAAACAGTTCCTAAGGCAGCTCTTGATATATTCGCAACATCACTCGAAGTGCTTGGTCTCAGTGGCTGTGGCCTGACAACGTTCCCTGTTGCAGTAGGGAAGCTGTCAGGTCTCCGTGAGCTGTATCTCGGCGACAACCACCTCGGTGACGTCCCTCACGCCATCTTCTACTACACGATCAGACAGACACTGCAGATCCTGAACCTCTCCAACACCGACCTGACTGACATTCCCGAGGAACTCAAACACACCCGTGCCCTCACTACCCTCTATCTCAGCCACAACCCGATCGTCGCACCCAACTCCACCGGCGTCTTCACCGGCATCAGCCACACCCTAACAAACCTCTTCTTCGACCACTGCCAACTCAACGCCATCCCACCAGCATTAAGCCGATTGACAAATCTAAAATTGCTGAATCTGACGTCCAATAAACTCGACATTCTTGAAAACTACGCCTTCAATCAATTAACATCTCTCGAGACTCTTGCCCTCAACAACAATCCCTTAATGAACATTAAACACGCGGCCTTTAACAGTTTGACCAGCTTGCAACACCTATACCTCGCCAACTGTGGCCTCCACTTCTTCCCTGGAGCAGCGTTACTGGGTCTCCCATCCTTGGACTATGTGGACCTCTCCAGTAATAAAATCTCGATCCTGGAGGAGAGCAGCGTCCCTCTTCTGAAGGATCTCAAGCGGCTGTCTCTCTCGGGCAACAAGTTCACCAACATGTCTCTCGTCTCCTTCACTGGCCTCACGACACTCGACATGCTCTACCTCAACGACTGCGGCTTCACCACGGTACCCAAGGCTATTGAATACACCCCCAACGTCCGCTACGTGGAGCTCTACAAGAACTCTATTCCCTGTGACTGCAGGCTCAAGTGGATCTGGAGCTGGAAGCTTGCGCATGGACTTATACCTCATATCCAAGGGTTGTGCCAGGGAACGAAGGCAGACGATTTAGATATGTTTATACGATACCAACTGAAACTTTGTCCTTAACACACGATTCTTATTATTAACAGGAATATATTTCATTACGTTGTTCTTTACTTATAAGCAGCAAAATCTCTGCACTTGTACACAATAGACGTAATTCAAAATGATGGTGCCGTTTTTATTAGTTTCAACGAAATCAGTAATGGTACTCGAGTAACTGGATTTTCTGGTTCATCAGTCACAGGATTGTATGGTTTGTTTACAGGCTGAGTACTGGTTTGGTAGGAGTACTGTTGTGCTGTGTCAGGCAATAAATACTTACTTTTTATGCAAATTGTATGAATGGCGGGTGCAACTGGTAGGGCAGACCTTTTTCGCGAACACCTGGTACCATCACTGATTTTCAGTGGTCCAATCATACAACTTTCACAGCTATTTGCCCTTTACGCCAAGTGGAATCTGTTTCGGCAGAAAATCTAGGATGGTTTTTCTCTTGCATTGACAATTAATATTTCCGAATGTGCACTGTGCGCTTATACGTGCATATAATGCTTGTAGTTATAAACAAAATATGAGACGATTTCTCTCTAACTTAATCCTCCCAAAATGGACCCTCCGAGAGCTCTGAATTTGACCTAAACAGAGTTAAAATAACCCTCGCAATTACAAACCATATGGATTCTGTATCCGTGTAACAACTCAATTATATGGCGTAAACTGTCCATATGTATACAGACGAGTAATGTTGTCCCACCTACGCCCGTCTTTCAGATTCAGACCGCCTCCGTGGTCTAGTGGTAGAGCGTCCGCCCGGAGAGCGGAAGATCCGGGGTTCGATCCCCGCCCGCGTCATACCAAAAGACGTTTAAGATGGTACTTGTTGTTACCCTGTCTGGCGCTCGTCATTAAGGGGCTAAAACAAGGACTTGTCGGCTCGGAGTCAGTATACTGTGTCTGAGTGGGGTATTCATGTTAAACTGCGGCATGGTTTCTCAGTGGGCTAGCACTATAAATCGGCATCTGTCCGGACTTGTACACTCAGCCACACAAACACGCACACGTCCATGCACGTCGCTATATAAGTGCAATAATCTTGGACGCGACGTTAAACCCAATTTCACCTCACCTCACCTTTCAGATTCATAACTCCCTTTGATTATTTCTGTGATGATAACTGCCCATTTTTATGTTTAAAGAACATGATAAGGTTGACGTTTGTTCTGGGACGGACATATCCTTATTGGTAAAATAGTTAAACTGTCCACCTGTAACAAGTCGAGGCAAAAAGTATTTTAACATTTAGGGTACATAATGGAAGTATAGGATCGTGGTAGCACGCGGTCCTGTGCACGACTCACAGGTCACAAATCAGGTAAAGTTAAGCAGCGTCGATCGCGGAGAATAGTTGCATGGGTGACCGCATTGGGCAGCTTGACTCCTGAGAGTTTCTAGGGCTTCGGTCCTGCCCCTCATTGAAGCACATATAGGGCATGTGGTATCTCCTCAGGCAAATGACTTTGTTCGAAATGTGCCTCTGTTCATCCAGCAGTGAATTGGTACACGGTAAGATGAGATGGTATTGTGGCTGTTAACGTTCTAGCGCCTCACGGGCATCTTGGGTGGTATACTCCCCAGGGAGCTGAGAATAAAAAAATCTAGTGCACACTGATCCATTGACCGTGGTACTAATGTTAGCGCTTTCAGCATACACCTTGTGTAAGGAGTATAGCGCAATATAAGTACACACATTATTGTTGTTGTTGTTATTATTATTAAGGGAGAAGTTATAAATCAAATATCCGAACACAAGAAGTAAGATATTTTTGTACAGAATCTGTTTCCAGTAGTTTATCTGTCCTTTTTATTCATGATAAAAATAAAAGATGGACACTGAAGGTAAAACACCTATTGTCCTGGAGCAATAAGTGATGCATGGAGGAGATATTCCCCACCCTTTATTTACATTCCTATCAACACTATTGCTACTTTCCCTTTGAGCGATATTCCCACGCATCACACATAGTGCCTGGCATGTAGTAGTTCATTGATAGTTCTCTCTGTGTGTGAACGGAACAGATACCTGGAAAAGTGCGAGAAAATAATTTTGCAATATTCCACCAAAAGTATTTCGGCGACACCAGAAAAAGTCCTTTACGCATTATTTTGATTAATTTGATGGTTAAAACCAGGTTTTCGGACCAGTATTCGTTATTAATGTTGCAGTAATTGATAATAATGTCGTTTCGTTAGCGCTCCTAAACTGCCTGTACTTCAGATACAGGACACTAAATACACATGGCTTACATCATGAGTGTCGAAGTCATATACATGTATACTGAATTTACAAAAGCAAGTGCCAGATATATAGGATGTCTAATACTCTGTTTATACGGCAAAAAATTGCATATATGCAAATTTGCACACATATGCAAATTTACACACGTGAGCAAAAGTATATTTGCTGTGCATTCATACGAAGTATAAGTCCCATAAGCAGATTTTGAGTAAATTGTCAAAACCATCCATTTCTGTCATAGCTATGGAAAAGATCAGACTGGAATGTTTCCTGGAATGGTTGTTCTGCAGCACTTTGAAGAGACAGACTGGCTAGAAAACTTCAGAGTGAGAAAGGAAACATTGGATTTCATTTGCAGAAGACTTGAAGGTGAACGCTCTCCTTCCCAAGACACTGTTGAAGAACCATTGGGTGTCCTAAAGAAGGTAGCAATTGCCATTTACTGGCTTGCAGAATACAGAGTCGGTAATCTCTTTGGTGTTGACAGCAATTGACAGCATAGGTGTTGATGATGACCTTGTGCCCCATCTGAGCATTGTGTATCGCAATCATGTCCATGGCGTCCCGGGCTTCAGTCAGCGAGGACCACGATGCCCGCGTGTTTGCCAATTCCGATATTTTCATTCAAGGTGATAATGGCATTCTTTTCCCCACATGGAACAAGAAGGTTGGGTGATTCCAATATGCCAGTGGTACTACTTGGTGATGCGGCCTACCCATTAAAGACTTGGCTTTTAAAGCCTTTCTCCAACAGAGCCAACTCCTGCTCAAGCCACATTCAACTATTGCCTCAGCAGGGCAAGGATGACGGCAGAGAATGCCTTCAGTCGTTTGAAGGGACGGTGGAGATGCTTACAAAAGCGATTGGACATTGATGTGGAGTTTGCTTTCACGGTGATTGGCTGTTGCATTGTCTTGCATAACATGTGAGAGTGTCAATGAAACCTTTAGGGATGAGTGGAATTAAGACACAGATGATGACGCAGATGATGGACAAGTGGGCATACAGGATGGAGGTGATGAACCTGTCCGTTGTGCAAAGACCCTTAGGGATTAAGTTGTTCTTCAAAACAATTCTCTTCCCTTAATCCTAAAAGACATCTCGTTTCATCGTCGCTCCATGCAGATCCACATTTTTGGCCCTCATTTGTTCTTTTTCTGCTAGCCATTTTTGACGGTCTGGTCTGTTTGAAGTCTGGACATCAACTGGTATCATTCTGACCAATGAGGATTAAGCGTTGCCAATTTGTATATCTAAACTGCATATACTCACAGGTAGTAGCAAATTTGCACCTAGTCCAAACTAGGTGCAGATTTACTCATATGAGTAAAATCTGCACATGAGTAAATGCGTCCATACGGTCAAATTTGCTCACATAAGCAAATTTGCACATATGCCAAAGATACACACGTGTGCAAATGCCGCCGTATAAACAGGGCTTTAAGACGTGTTTCCTCAACTCTGTACGGAAATGAAATAAACCCTTTCATCCGTACTTTACAATAATCTAAAGCTGACAGCGTCGTAAGGGTACTACGAGTGCTGGCCATGGCATGACATGGGGGTTTTGCTGTTAGAGGAACTGGGTCAAATCCTGGCACGATAAACACGTGCATTATCATCTTGAAAGATGAAAGGTTGCCCAACACGTCGTGCAAATCTCACCCCAGTGGTGAAATGACGATAGTATTGACCTGTGACTCTGCCTTGGACCATATGGAGAGCAGTTCGGCCAGTCATTGTGACACCACCACATACTATTATTGACCTCTTCAGAAAAGTGTGAATCACAAAATCTACAAGCTCCTTTATGAAAAGATAAAATGGTAGAGGACTTAATATGAACCCTTGACGGACGCCTACATGACAGATAAATACTCTGATATATTTCTCCATTATTTACTTCTACAGCACACGTATACACAATCATACATACTTTTAACAATATTTAAAATAGACCATAAGTTCCATTTTGAAGTAATACAAAAACAATTTATCACGATGGACCATATCATATTTGCTATCAACATATATGTTTGAGTAAATATATAAATGGATTGTTTTCAGTAAAATTCTTTGAACTTATTTTCTGTATGTTTGGTATATAGAGTATCTTTTCATATTCAAGATGCCTGACATCTTGAAATTGCCATAGCAATCTAACTAAGTCGAACTAAATGTATTTCTCCAATACCATATGTAAATTGATCGATTGCGATGGCATCTGCCCTCTATACCGAGGCTGAGATCTTGACATAATAACCAGCACCCGGGGCTACCGGACCCGCGGCCGTCTGCACGTGGGAACAGCTGTAACCACGCTAGGATTGATAATAAAATTGGATGTTTGAAACTAGATTGAGTTTATTCAATGCAAACATTATGACACTGTATACAATTTGTTAGAATAAACGAATATAATCGATAATTTAGATTCAATTGTGCCCGTGTTATTAGTTTGTTCACCTTAAAATAGGAAGGAGGGTAGATAGTCTTGTGGTAGGTCATCGCCGGAACTAGGAACACTCAAATATTGCTGTATAAAATTCCTGAGAGTAAGATGATGAAACACGTGAACTCGGTAGTGACGTCATAACCGGAAAGAACGATGGCTGGTATTGGTCGGGCTGCGTCTACAGACATAAGAAGAAGAATATGTAGAGGGCGTCAGGGAAAATGATTAATTATATATCAAATGCTTTGGAATAGGTCCGTATACAGCCTCAGATCTATCCAAGCCAACAAGGTTCTGGGAAAAAAACATGGCAAATATGCGTACTTCGCTTACGAATTGTCACGCTTGCATCCCAAGTATCAAGTTGCCGACTCCCGATTGTTCTTGGTGCCATAGGTTTGGTATCTTCCAATCTGTTGACTGGCATTGGGAGAGTACCCAGGTTTGCTGCTAGGAATACAGCCCTTTTGCAACTCCAAGGCTGAAGTGTTGGGGAGTCTTCACACTCTCCGAAAAGTTCTGGATGGGTTCAACTAGGCACAGCTTCCTGGGAGAAGTCCCATTCGCTGTCTGGGCTGCGTGTAAAGGGGCGAGAGCCCTGGGCTGACGATGAGCCTATTAGTAACCAGCGTGTGCCAGGATCACCCGAACCCTCTTTGCTGCATTTATTTATCTTAATCTGTAAAACAGCAACACAAAAATACTAATACTGCTACCAATAATAATTATGTCCATATGTATAATGTTCCAAATCCACACCCACACCCTAAATCGATACATATTATCCCGGTCAATGGATCAGTGTGAACTCAAATTTCATTCCAGCTCCACAGGGAGTAAACAATACAGTCTGGCGTCCACATTACCACCTCATCCTCACGGGTACCCATTAACTGATGCGAGAACAGATGCATGTTTCGAACAAAGTCACTTGGATAAGGAGGCACCACATGTCTGGCATGTGCTTTGGTGTTGGGCAGGACCGAAGCTTTAGGAACTCTTAGGAGTCAAGATGCTGAACGCTGTCCCCCATTGAACTACTCTCTGAGCTGAACTTCATCTGATGTGTGACCCGCGAGCTGTATACAAGTCCACCTGCCCCCACTTGAATGCCATACCGTTTTTCTCCATGAAGGTCTTCTACACTGTACCTACTGCCCCCATGACCAAACGTTCTGTTCCCAACAAGCCGCTAAGGTCCAGTAAGCTTATACTTAATGCATTTCTTAGATGGTGGACAAAACGTTCATGGATAACTTCTTCATTATATCGTAATAGCGGCGTTTCGGTACAGATCCTTATACCGTTTTCAAGCAAGGATCTATACCGAAACGTCGATATTACAGTATAATATAGAAGTTTTAATTCATAATTATTTTATCTACATTGTTAAGTATACAGTGAAAGATGCAAGATTGCATTTTTTTTATTACCCGAGAGTAAAATATTTGTCAGAATCAACTTCAGAAAGGTTTGTTTTAGTATCAATATCATTTTTTATGAAAAAGGTGGCATTTAACGAACTCGTCTATATTCGACTTTTTTAGTCATACCTTCTCAGAAAACTTTCATTATGAATATATTTTACCTAAAGGCATTTTTCTCTGAATACAAATTCATGGACAAATACACTTATCTTCAGCATCTGGATAGCTTTAGATGGCGACGACACATACACGCCTAATCTTAGGCATCTGGATAGCTTTACATGACCATAAATGTGTTCTCGTTATTAAGTGTATTTCCTAAAGACAAACATTACATTGCTGCAATGTGTTTCAGGCTCATAGTTTTTAATAAAAAATATCTGGTTTTGTATTTCTGAAGCTGAAAAATATCTATTCTCGTTACAAAATCCTAGCCTCATATCACAGGATATCAATCACTGGATCACAGTCATTTTACAGGCTGTCCCCATATAGCTGGAATATTACAGCTCTGCGTTAAATAACAAACTTTAACAAGCGCGTCAATGATACTAGTAATTAGATTCAAGAAAATTTACACACCTAAGCTATTAACCAAACAGGCTAAAATAAATTAATAATATATCATACATGACATTTTGTATTTTTTCCTGTCTTGCGGAATGTGAGTACAAGGGTCTTAAGAAGCACCTTTTATTACTTTTCATCCGACATATTACATGTATGTAAGCCTTTTTTTAACTCGTTCTTCAGCCTCTCCCTATGAAACGAGATCAGCTCTTTCTTTGAAACCTGGGACACTACAACATTACATGTGACTACTGACCTAGAGATTCTAACATCCCGTGAAGGTAAGACAAATCCATTCGGTCATACAATCCATCTTCCCGCCGCACAGCGCAAAGGTCTGATCGCCGTAACGTGCACCGGCGTGATACACTGCCATCGTCAAACCCCGCGGTCACGACCCAAGCGGAGGTCACGAAGTCATGTCACGCCATTGTAGGACTGATTGAACGATGGCAAACGCGATATTCCAGGCATATCGCCCACTTTCAATGCTTACCATCACTGTTATGTATTGGTCTCTAACTAACCATTTCAACCATTAGACACGAGGGTGCGAGTGCTTCAGCCTATTTAAAGCATGGCCAACAGACCAAGAAACCTACCAACATTGTTTTGATAACCGTGTTTAAAAAAGATATTCACGAACTCTATGTTTAAATGTGAGAACCATGTAACACGCCCCTCGCGTGATTGACGTAAATATGTTACTTGTGCCCGTGGCACGTGGATCATTATGTGGGACTAACTCGAGCACAGTTACCAAACACATAAATATTGTTTGCTCATGTTGAAAGGACTATTATGAGCAAATCATAGCCCTAATTAAAAAAAGAGTAATTTTAACGGATAGCTACTAAATCGAATGTACCTTTAATGGACATAGAAACATACAGCATAATCAAATATACAGGTTCATAAACGGATAAACCCGTGAAGATTCCGGGGTAGAATAGGTCTTCAGCAACTCATGCTTGCCGTAAAAGGTGACTAAGCTTGTTGTAAAAGGCGACTAACGGGGTCGGGTGGTCAGGCTCGCTGACTTGGTTGATGCATGTCATCGATCCCAATTGCGTGGATCGATGCTCATGATATTAATCACTGGATTGTCTGGTCCAGACTCGATTATTTACAGACCGCCGTCATATAGCTGGAATATTGCTGAGTGCGGCGTTAAACAACAAACCAACCAACCAATCATAAACGGATAAACTATTCGTTTTGATGTCAGTAAATATGTCATTGTTAAGTCGACATGATTTCCTCCATGGCGTAGCAGACAACTACATTCGTTAGCCTTCGGTACGACTTCGGCGGCACACGTTTTCCGTAAAGTTGTTCAGTGATCAAAGTAAATTAAATAGAAAAAGATGCAGGGTTACAAAAGTAGCCATGTTTAAAGTACGTTTATTATCTTCTAAGTTTCATATTCATTTGAAGTTGAAAATGATGGACTTCTACACTGAAACAGACACATATTGTTTCTTTCTTGTTGACATGGACGAGTCCACTGTGACAGGAGGGTGACCCTGACAATGTTAACTTCATGTTAATTAATCACCTAATGCAACAGCAGGACCATTACGAGGCGGGGACAAACAAATAGCCCCGTCTTAGATGATGTAAAGCGCCCATGAAGCTGTCGGGAGCTCAGTAGTGTGATGAGTTTAGTATGAAGGCGGCAGCCACGCTCTTACGGGTTCTGACGGTGGTGTGTTTGGCGGCTGTGATCAGTGGGCATGGACGCATGATCGAACCCCCTAACAGGGGCAGTCTGTGGCGAGTTGGTTACAACGTTGCCAAAAACTACGATGACAACGCTTTAAACTGTGGTGGCTATCAGGTAAGGTGATCAGTTTTACCGTTATATGTCAGTTTGTCCAATAACATAAGATTTATCACACTCTTGCACACATTATCAATCTTTTTCAAAATACAAGCAATTACAAAACAAAATTGTGTTACATTTATTATATGTGGCTTTATGTGTGTAATGATATCCAACTCAGGAAATAACCATTTATAATCTCATATTTCTAATTTACTGTTTATTCACTCAAACCATTCCCCTATAAACCTTTCTTTTATAGAATTGCAAATTATTTTTCAAAACATAGAATTTCAAAATATGCCATTATTTTATATTTAAAGAAATAATGTTTCATCTGGTGTTTTAATAAAAGAAATCTATACTCAGATGAGGTCGTTCAGGCCTTAACACACTAATACTCATAATAACTAGACAGATAAGGTCCTTATTCGAAAATTTAGGATATACTTATATAAAGATTACTGCACATGTACAAAGTTTCTTATGTACGGTGGGTGCAGGGAGGGGGCAGTCGTCTAGGGCGCCGCGATTCGCTGTGCACGCCAGAAACCTATGATTGTGTGTTCGAATCCCGGTTCGCCCCGATTATGTTTCTAGGTTTGTCAGCACCATACCCGTGCTCGTGGGTTTTGCCGAAGTGGTAAACGTCTGAGACCTGGATCACCTCGGGCTTAACTGGAAAACTGTTAAAAGCGGCGTTACATCCAACTCTATATACTCACACACTTATGTATGGTGCTGCAGTTTTGTTGAACAAGAATTCTTTCAACTAACAACCAAATGGCACGCACGCACGCACGCACGCACGCACGCACACACACTGAGCAATGCAACTCAGTACCAGTGGTTGGCTGTATGAGCAATGCTCCATCGGGGTTGGGTCGCACTTAATCAGCCTTGTTGCATATGTGAACAGTCGTAGTTTGCAACAAGGGAAGAACGGACAGGTAGGGGACGTTACGTCACGTTATGTTTACTCATGGTTCCGAATTAAGGCGTCAGCAGCTAACCTAAATGAATGTATGGTTGAATTTCTTTTTGTGAAGGTCCAGTGGCTGCTTAACGCTGGACGATGCGGTCACTGCGGAGACGCCTACAGAGGCCCACGTGAACACGAGCGCGGAGGAAAGTACGCAAGTGACGTCATATCCAGAAAGTACACTTCCGGTCAGGTGATAGACGTTACAATTGACATCACGGCCAATCATGGCGGCTACTTCCAGTTCTACCTGTGCTCACAGCCCCGACTGTCAGAGGCATGTTTCCGTGAACACCCTCTGTACGTGGTCGGGGAGGGTTATAAACATAAACTGAGGACACTGAGGTCCCCCCTCTTCGAGAAGGTCCAGTTACAGCTTCCACGCGGGACGAGCTGCGACCACTGTGTATTACAGTGGAGATGGAACTGCGGTGAGTGTCCTTGACCTCGGTTGACCTAATAAACAACCACAAACAATAATCTTTATCAAAATTATCACATTGAAGTACCTCTAAAACGTGCATTTTAGTATCCCAACTGAAGCCCTCTGTATATATTCGAGAGGATGGTTCTTGACTAACATCATCTTAGGGGGGGCCCACTTTTTTAAATTGAATTTCAAAACGTTTCGACATATCTTGTCCTCAGCTATACATAATATGGAGCCTTAGTATGTTATGTCGAAGAACATCCTAAACTTAAATTGACCCGTGAAGATCCTGGTAAGAAAAGGTCTTCAGCAACCAGTGCTTGCCGTAAAAAAGCGACTATGCTTGTCGTGAGAGGCGACTAACGGGATCGGGTGATCAGGCTCGCTGACTTTGTTGATGCATGTCATCGATCCCATTTGCGTGGATCGATGTTCATGATGTCAATCAGTGGATTGTCTGGTCTAGACTCGATTATTTACAGACCGCCGTCATATACCTGGAATATTGCTGAATGCGGCGTTAAACAATAGATAAACAAACAAACTAATAATCTTGAATTATTTGAATAGCCCGCCCTTCAGATCCATGACTAATTGTACGACATCCTTTTACAGCCCAGAGTTACGGTATGGACTGGGAGACAGGAATCTATTGTAAGGGGTGTGGGCAACAGGAGCAGTTCTGGAACTGTGCTGATATAGCCATAGAACCACCTCTCCGGGTCCCTCGTCCGTTCTTCAAGAAGATAAAACCGAAGCCAGAGCGCCGTGACATCAACCTCATGGACAACCCCGTCCCGGGGATCCTGCACGTGCCGTCTATGAAGATGGCGCATTTCCTTCCCTCTCCACCCCCAGTCGTGTTCCAGCAGACGGCAGGAGAGTGTCGAGGCTCCGCCACCTATGGTATCGCGCTTGATGCTTGGTGTAAGCTGCACTGTCCACTGGGCTTCTGCCCACCTACACACTGTAGGTGTACGTGACGGGGGTTGATGGAGCTATGGTGTATTCCCGTACATTCAGTGTACTGACATGAGTCAGTCTATTTCAAACAGCTCCCATGGCACATAATTATGAAAAGATTTCTCTACAGACAGACAGAAAGACACATGTGCACAATATCAGTGAACGCCATTTGTTCTAAGCTTGAAAACTTTATCAATATACACAGATATTGATATTGAACTATTATTGATCTTGAACGATTCTGCATGATGACTCAATGAAGTTTTTTTCAATTATAGTTTCCTTAGGTATTTGTAAAATTGATTTTGCTCCGCAATAAGTAATATATAAATAAGTAAAGAAATATATCGTTGTGTTAAAAGACATGCTTGAACGAAGCACTCCGTGTCGAAGGAGGCTGGCCTCCCACTTGGCAGGTCAAGCAAGATGATTCAAGTCATTCTAACCAACTTCTACTTTCTGATTACTTACATTTCATGATGTATACAATGAACAACCTAGCAGTTAATGGTTACACAAACACAATATGTACGATCCCACATGACGCCATGTCTAGACTACAATCAGGCTCCAGACCCTGTAACATGTGACATCCATACACCTCGTATCAACCCCTGACTGGTAGCCCTGGTTTTAGCCCCGAGACTGACTGAGATATACCATCCTTAACTCTGCGTTCAGCCTCTGAAATACTATGGAGTTTCCCTGCGTAGTTCCGAAATACTACTATAAAACATACCTTGATGCCTTCACGCTATAGCCATGAATGCATCGAGACCAACGTTGAAATTTTAATATGTAGGAAAAGATCCCTCTTTACAATATTGCACAACCATGTTGAACAATTAAACAATAAACTTTTGAATTTATTACCACGAACGTTTTAATTATCTATAAAATGGCGCGGTCTACATCGTCCGAATGTTGTCAGGTATTCCAACTTGGACAATTGGTGATGAATTTTTAGCAACTTGTTTTCTCGCACAGTCCCTCTTTCTTATACAAACTAGCTATCAAAGTCAATATGAAAACGGTCTAAGGTCACAAAATCAGTTTTAGCCTATCTTCGGGTCAATTGAAAACATGTTGTTGGATTGTAAACAAATTGACAGTTTAAGTTTGATCAATATTCACAATAACTTCTTTCAGACTTGCTTGATAAAGGTGTTAGGATCTACACCGAAACGTCGCACTAATTGTAATAAAGAAGTTGTTCATCCAAAGAACTCGTCTTACTTCAATATTCACAATGTCAAAGGCCAAATGGTTATTAATGATACTGGCATGAGAATAAACTTACACAGAAACTTTCTTAATAGACACTTATACATGACAACACGAACGACACTTTCATAGGTCTGCTATGTCAGTGGTTTCTAAATGTTCATGAATCTGAAAATACAAATTTCACCCAATTCAATAAGAATAAAAATAGTTCCACAAAAACAAGAAATCTTTGCTAAAAGCATCGTCCATTCTACGATTCCGACCATATTGCCACCACCGGTTGCACCCGTCACATATGCAAGAAGATCCGGGGTAGAATAGATCTTCAGTAACCAGTGCTTGCCGTAAATGGCGACTATGCTTGGTGTAGGAGGCGACTAACGGGATCGGGTGGTCAGGCTCGCTGACTTGGTTGATGCATGTCATCGATCTCAATTGCATGGATCGATGCTCATGATGTCAATCACTGGATTGTCTGGTCCAGACTCGATTATTAACAGACTGCCGTGAGTGCGGCAACAACAAACAACATATGCAAACGCTGATGGAATATACACTTGCAAACTGAACAAACGCGGAACATGCATGTTACCAGACCAAGTTCCATAGACCGCTGATTCAGATCAGCTGACATCAACGTTCTCAAGATAACGTGACTGTGATGGATTTATCACAAGTTGAAGCAGTAGACAGGCCATAGGTAAACAAATATCAAGATTGAAAATGAATCGACTCGATTAATGCACCATAAGTACTGTGAAATGTCACATGATCGTGACTAAAATAGGCCTAAGATTTGTTCCAGGAGAAACCTCTCACTGATAAACTTGTGGTTAAGCTCGGTCAATATGAACAGATAGAGGTGATACAGGCTTCCGGCTTGGCTAAAATGGTTTCTGGACAATAATTCGGACATCCGTAGACACCTGTCAGAGGTACGACTAGCGCTTCAGCCAACAGATGACAGCTTACCATTGAAAGCAAGTACAAAACGGTGTCTATCGTGTTTACGAAGAAACGTGCATAGGCAAGTGTATTTTATTGTCAAAAAGCTTAATATGAGAGCATAAACTTTAAAATATTATAGTGAATAAGACTGCAAAGACGACGCAGTTGTGTCATAAACAGATGAGTCGCACTTCCTGCATGGACTGTGAAGCTGTGGTAGCACAAGCATCACTTGGTTCATCATTTCATTATGCAGGCTGATTGAGCGTGCGTGAGAGAATTCACATTACTCTAAATTAAAATTTATGTTCATAACTTCAAGTAATCGGCATTTTGAAACACATTTAATGTGTTTATTATTTAATCATGTGTTTCATCCATACAAGCTAACTTCTTTATCCAGTCCTTGCTCCAACTGGCGTTCAAATAACTCGGCTATATACTAATGTCCTTTTGATTTTTTCTTATAAAAAATGCATTTAAGCGTTTTCCCATGTCAGCTTCTATTGTTGTGATTCTTCAAAGGGTAGGATTTCAGCAAAAAATGCTAAGTGTACATTTTTACCAAAGTGCAACAGGCCTCTGAGATTGCAAGATGAAGACATCCAGTAGTTCGGCAGCGTAGTCCTTCGATAGTCAATGATCGGGGGCTTGTAAGTCCCAAATCTAAGAACAAAACCCGACAGTGTGTTCTCCATGGGTTGAAACAAAAACCTATATCCATCTGCAGTGAGGGGTACAGGACGGAATACAAGACATAATACAAGAGCTTACAGCTCAACCCACCTCCATATCCTTGTATCCATCTGCAGTGAGGGGTACAGGACGGAATACAAGACATAATACAAGAGCTTACAGCTCAACCCACCTCCATATCCTTGTATCCATCTGCAGTGAGGGGTACAGGACGGAATACAAGACATAATACAAGAGCTTACAGCTCAACCCACCTCCATATCCTTGTATCCATCTGCAGTGAGGGGTACAGGACGGAATACAAGACATAATACAAGAGCTTACAGCTCAACCCACCTCCATATCCTTGTATCCATCTGCAGTGAGGGGTACAGGACGGAATACAAGACATAATACAAGAGCTTACAGCTCAACCCACCTCCATATCCTTGTATCCATCTGCAGTGAGGGGTACAGGACGGAATACAAGACATAATACAAGAGCTTACAGCTCAACCCACCTCCATATCCTTGTATCCATCTGCAGTGAGGGGTACAGGACAGAATACAAGACATAATACAAGAGCTTACAGCTCAACCCACCTCCATATCCTTGTATCCATCTGCAGTGAGGGGTACAGGACGGAATACAAGACATAATACAAGAGCTTACAGCTCAACCCACCTCCATATCCTTGTATCCATCTGCAGTGAGGGGTACAGGACAGAATACAAGACATAATACAAGAGCTTACAGCTCAACCCACCTCCATATCCTTGTATTATTCTGTGAAGGTGTATTGTGAAGTGAGGCAAGCGAAGACTGGTATAAGTTCACTTAGCCATCTCTCGAGAACCGTTTGTCAGGGTTGAAAAGTGTTTTGTGTTTTAGCACATTTGTCAATGTATAATACACAAAAGATTAGTCTGCCAAGCCATGTTGGCCATAATCATCATCATAATTTATTCCATCAGTTAATAAATTCGATGGCCAAACATTTTATTTAACTATGAGTTTTAAAATACGTTCTAAAGGAAGTGCGATAATCGAGTGTTGGCCAGACAAACCAGTGGTCAACATCATGAGCAACGATCTAAATCGCCGGAGAACGATGGCATATAATCAGCCATGTCATACATGGAAACATGTGGCATATTTCCGCTGCTGAGCACTAACCAAGTCGTTTCGAGGAAATCGGCATATTTTCCTTTGTATGGGTGACAGGTTCTAGAAAGACTGACAAAAAAGCTGAACTAATTTATTTCTAAAATAAGCTTTTTAATCACAGTGTTTTAGTTACTGCAAAGTTACTTATGTACCGGTTGACATGAAATAACTGCCCAGTAAAAGTTACGCATAATCAGAATGATCCTCTCTCCTACCCTCACTTTCACATGGCTGAACTTGACATTCAGTAAGTTCCGTTACTCTTCACTGTCCATGGCTGCCGTAAAATATTTACAAATTGCAACCCCGAGCTGTAATCGTGTAATTATTAACGTAATGATTTACTGGTGGAAGTACTGGCACAACCTCATTGCCAACGGAACCACCTGAGGTTTGGCTGAATACCGCCGTTTTAAGCTGAAGAAAGAAGGAGTCGGCATATTAAAACACGAGAGTCTGAGAGACTGCTCATTTTTTTTTACCGATGTTCGTATGACCATGGCAAAGTGTTAGTGCGTGTTGCAAATGTTTCCAGCTGTGTCTACCAGCATTTCAATTCTGAAAATCACTCCATCCTTTACATAAAAACTATTAGAGAAAATATACATCCATCTTACCTTAAATGCAGTCGACATTTAGAATGTCCAGAGAGTGACACTGGATTCAACTGCTGTGTACAGCAATGCCATTTGGGTGTTATGACAAAATAAGAGACATTGACAGCCTTTCTAACCAACGAACTACCAACGTCAATGTATTGAGTCTGTTTCAAGCACCCCTAAGACTTCGGCGCAACCATGGTAATAAGAAAGCATAAAGGCCAAATGAGCTCATTCTTTTGGAAGGTGTTTTGCCTCTCCTTCAGGAACCATTGGGACTGCACAAAGTAAGAACAAGACGATACTGCGTCTTTGAAAGAAAACATACAACTCCAGCAACTTTTGCGAATGTGTGGGTCTGCAAGCAGTAAGGGTCCACGGTATCGACTAGAGATTGCTTTAAAAGGTTTAGCCAAACCACAAACTCCACGAAATCCGAAAATACCTAGTGTTCTTGAAATTATAACTTGCAAAAACAAAAGAAATTGACGCTTTTAATTTAAGTGACATTCTCAAACAAAACTCAGTTTCTCAAGATGACCCACAATATTTCAAATTTCAAATTACGAACACAATTTCATCACAGTTGTTCAATGAAAGGACTATGTTGTGGAAAGAGAGTGGACTTGGCAGCTCATGATGTAAAGGGAAGACAACCAGGTTGAATGTCTTTCAGAGTGGGACAAATCAGTGCATTAGGTTGACATCGGTAGAATCACAAACTCAAAAAGAGGTAAGGGAATTGGAATAAAACCATTCCGACCCATCTAGCTGTCATCCAGAGTCTGGCTGTGCTACATGAAACGTTTGTAGCTCTTTCAACTGACAAGGTCTCAAATTACATGACCATTATATGTAAAAGCAACACGACATTAAATCTCTAACCAAAAACCTTGGTATAAGTGAACGAACTGAGGAAGACATCTGCCAAAACCATGCATCAGTACCATGAGCTTTTGGCTTGACATATTGCTGGGTCCAGTAAATGTACAACCAAATCCCTGTCTTGATGATTAACCATAATCCGTAATACATTCAAGGAAGGACTTTCATGATTTTAAACAGAAAGTATTTGAGAGAAGTGGAATTTATAACAGGTGGGTTTTCAAAAGCTCATTTGCTTGATGTTTTTCAATCTCGGAAAGAACCCTGTTCAAATCTGTGAAAACATTTGATTTTTCGGTTGTTCTGATGTCGAACGTATACAATTCTAGCCACTGTCATATGCATTGTGCGTAGGTCGATATATACGCAAGGTTTTTGTGTCTTGATTACATATTAATTGTGAGGTAAAATTTGAAAGATCAGTGACAATATTTTTTACCATATTGTCCCGTGTTTTTTTTATGGTGAAAAATTGACTTGCCTTTGCATATGTCTGTGAGGTGTGCCAACAGTGGGGAAGGAGACGCTCGCCTTTTCGCAAACACTTGGTATCATTACTATTTGATAGTGATTCATAAGCACGTTCTCATGATATAGTCGGAATTGTACAATCAACTCTGCGTTATGCAGAGATTTCCATTGGATATATGGAAAGGGTTTTGTCGCTTTATATACACAATCTTCCCAAACTTCATCATCACAATGTAACAAGGTTCA